CCTTCTTTAAAATTCGCTTTTGAGGCAGCCAGGGTAAATCCTCTTGGGTCATCCGGTCAAGTATGAAGTTAAAAACGATTTGATCTGCACTGAGACTGGTAAGGAGATAGAGGGCCGGCAATTTTTTTAACAGGTTAGTGGTTCCAACAAAGTATAGACCTCAAATATTAAATATACCCTCATAATAAGTCATTAGGAGGTCACTTAGGAATTACAAATCCTTGTATAGAATCACAAAAGAATTTTATTGGCCAAAATTAAAGAAAGATGTGAAGATCATATTAGGTGTTGCCGAGAAAGTCAGCAAGTTGGAAAACCTGGACTTTTCCATTAAACCTGCACCTCTCCAACCTATACCTGCTGATGGAGAACCTTTTGCAGATTTAATTATAGATTGTGTAGGTCCACTACCTAGGTCAAAATCTGGAAATCAGTATTTATTTACGATTATGGAAAAAGTAACCGATACCCTGAAGCAATTCCCATGCGTAGTATTAAACTAAAGCTATTCTCAAAGCTTAACAAAAATTCATTTATTGTTTTGGCATTCTAAAACTATTCAAAGTGATCAAGGTACTAACTTTACTGCCAAAGCATTTAGGGAAGAAATTAACTAGGTAGGGATAATCTACAACTTATCCACTGCCTATCATCCTCAGTCCCAAGGCGCCTTGGAAAGATTACACCAGACATTAAAAACAATGATGAGAAGTTTTTGCATGCACTTTCCTACAGACTGGGATGAATCACTACCTTTGTTGCTGTTCTCAGTACGAGAAACGGGGGCAAGAGTCTAAGGGTATAGTCCTTTTGAGCTGATCTTTGGGCACAATGTACGGGGTCCTCTTCGGGTGCTCAAAGAAGGATGGTGGGAGAAGACGTTAGCTCAACACTCTACAACCCGTCTTCAAGGTTGCAGGTGCACTTTCAGTTACCCAAGGCTAACCTAAAGACACCCTAAAAGCAAGATGAAACAGAGGTATGACAGAAGTGCACAATTCCGCTCCTTCCATCCAGGAGACAAGGTGTTGGTGCAGGAACCTATATGTGGCCACACCTTGAAAGCTAGTTTTTACGGGACCTATGCAGATTGTAAGTAGATTATCTGATGTAAATTATGTGGTAGTCCCATTGATAAGACCTCAAAAACTAAAACTTACCACATTAATCAGTTAAAGTATTTCCCATACCCCAGATTAAAGTCCCAGTAATTGACTCTGTCCTCTACCTCTGAGGACAACTCTGACTCTTTGCATCTATCTCTGAAATTAATTTTAAAAATTTCAAATTCTGTCCTCCTAAAGGATCCTAGCCCTTTAAGGGAAATGGATTATCTGAAATGAAAGCAAAAAAATTTTAAAATGAGCTTCTCAGTCATATCCTAATTATTTTTTCGGTGGCCGAAAAAATGTACGTTAGGTTTACCATGATGTAGATGGGGGAAAAACTCTAAACCAATTAAACTCTCCCCCTACAGAGCTAATCCTGAAAAGCAAAGGCTACTTCAGCAGGAAGTAGAAATTTTGTTAAAGCTTGGTTTAGTGGAGGAGTCTCTAGTCCATGGGCTTCACCGTGCATCCTTGTGAAGAAGGCTGATGGAGGGTTTCGTATGTGTACAGACTACCGTAAGGTGAACGAGGTCACCATTACAGATGCTTACCCTTTTCCCTCGTCTGGATGACGTAATTGACTTTGGGGGTAAGGCTCTTTTGTGTCCAAATTAGATCTCCTTAAAGGCTACTATCGGGTACCTTTGACAGATAAGGCAAGGAAATCTCTGCTTCGTAATTCCAGGAGGTCATTATCAATACACAGTTACCCCCTTCGGAATGAAAAATTCCCCCTCTTCATTCCAGAAACTTATCCATCAGGCTATTAAAGGACTTGAAGGCACGGCAGCGTACCTAGATGATATTGTTGTGGTGTCTGATACTTGGGATCAACACCTACTTAGACTTAAGGCTCTGTTTGAGACCTTTAAGAGTTCCCATTTAACATTAATTTATTAAATCTTCCTTTGGCCAGGCCCTGTCACTTTTCTAGGCCATGAAGTAGGTAGTGGTAAAGTTGCCCCTAAATTTGCTAAAGTTCTTTCTATTAAAGATTACCCAAATTCCTTCATGATAGGAAATCTCTTCAACGTTTCCTAGGCATGATAGAATTTTACAGAAGATTCTGTAAGAATTTCTCCAGATATTGTAGCCCCTCTTACCTCTCTTACCAGTCATAAAGTTCCCTTTAATTGGACTCAGACTGTAACACTGCTTTTAATAAAGAAAAAAGATATTGTGTACTGCCCCCATTCTCTTGTCTCCAGACTTCTCCAAACCTTTTTCATTACAGGTTGATGCTTGTGAGTCTGGGGTTGGGGCAGTACTATTACAAATGGGGAACAAGGAGTTGCAGCCTGTAGCATACTTTTCAGCCAAGTTCAGCCACATCAGAGGGCTTCTCTATCATTGAAAAAGAAGCCCTCGCGCTGGTACTGGCTTTGGAGCATTTCGATGTTTATGTGGGCCAGACACCGCAGGTGGTCACAGTCTACAGTGATCACAATCCTCTAGTATATCTCCAAGCCATGAAGAACCACAACACAAGGCTTATGCGTTGGACGCAAAAGGCTGCAACCATATAATCTTTCCATTAAATTATTGCCGGCAAAAAAAAATATGTTGGCAGACTCTTTATCTAGAGTAATTTTATTTAGGTTAGGATGTTATTGTGGAACCCCTTTTCATGTCTTTTTTTTTATCCCTGGTGTGGGGTTTTTTTTTAGTGAGGGGATGGGGCTACCGTCCGCCTGTATCTTGGACCTATGCTAGCCTGTCTGACTGCTGTGTCACTCTAAAGTTTAGGGTTTGGCTTTTGGTCACGAGAAAAGCTGAGCCCCTATCTAAGAGTTGGATGGTGGAGAGGAAAGGCGGTCCATTATTTTGTGCCATGGCGGCACGGTTACAACTGGGAGGTGGCAGCCTAATCCTGAGCCTTCTCGGGTGGGGGTGTGGCATGCAAAGAGTTTCGTACCTTTATTCGGCGATGTACAAAACTCATTTACAAGGCTGTCTCCCCCAACCAGCGAACCAGGTTTGCTAAGAGTTTATGATGGGGCCCCGTCGTTCAACTATGACCAGGTTCCAGCCTTCCAGCCAATAAAGAAAATGGTTTTGGCAATCGCAGAGGTTTTTGTGGGTAAACCCCTCTCTGTCTGCCCTTGTCATTCCCATTCTAGAGCTGGTTGAAGCACGGTCTGCTATCTTGTGGCTTCTATTTCTGCTTTGCTTACCGTGGAGTGCACTATACTTATCACTGTACATAGTGTACATATTGCTGTTCTAAATTGGTGAAGGATAATATAAGTCTAAACTTTTTCTACTGTGTTTATTTGCTCCCATTACACCCGGGGTAACAGGCCATTTGGAATCCTGGGTTGTAATAATCTCCAAGCTTAAATTTTATTTACTGGGAAAAGAATTCATTTTAGAAACTGATCACAAACCTTTGATATACCTAGAAACTTTTAAGGGAACCAACAGTCGCCTCTTTTTAGGTGGACATTGGCTCTCCCCAAACTTTTAAGTTCCATATTGTGTATATCAATGGTTCATTCAATTATTTCTCTGACTGGTTAAGTTGTGACAGTCAGTAGAAGATTTGTTGCCTTACGCGACTTCCACATGTTAGAACTTTTTCCTCGCCTATTCTTCTTATACTCCTTGACTATAAGTCTTGGTATGGGGAAGTGTGAGGGAAAAGTTCAACAAATAGGAGTAGCAAGCGAGTATATGGTAACAATAGTTTGATTGCCGGCTACTTGTTAAGGTAGGGTAAGCCTAGCTCCCGCTATCCCCCCCCCCACCCCGAAAGGTGACATGTGCTGCTCAGGTCAAACAGTAAATCACTCGACTCACAGCTCCCAGCACTACTGTAAGTACATGCCTGATCATATTTTAGTGGACTTATTGGTTGAAACCTTCTCTTTTTAATTAACTTAGTCCTTTCAGTTTTGATCTGTTAAATATTTTAATAATCACCACATCTTTTAGGTATTGTACTTATCATGGAGAGTGATTTCTTAAGCAGTGGGTAACCTGTCTATCTTTCCAGCTTGGAATGATAGATTGGGTCACCTGCCAACCAACAAGAAGTATTGAAGGAGACGGACTAACGTCCTGAGACGTCCCATTTTGGATCTACATACCTGTTTTTTTGTATGCAGTCACAGGACATAACACCTCATCATTGCAGTGGTAAAGAACCTGCTTTCCTGTTATCTGGACTGATTATTCACGGCTATAGACTCTGAAGAACGAGACGTTGGGTTGTCACCAACACCTGTGATCCCCCCCTCACATCATCAGCAACTGCTACAATTTCAACAACACGCAGAGTCACCAACATCAGACACCCGATTTGACATGTATAAATTAGCATTGAAGTTAAATATCATTTATATTTTTCATTTTTCATTTTTCTTTAAAGTAGGTTAAATATTTCATATTTAAGTATTTTATATTTTATATGTTTTAAATAATAAAGTGTTTATGTTTGTCATTTTTTATTCTTTTTCTATTCATTAATATTCCTGAGGAGGAGCCAGCCTTGGTAATACTGTCTGAAGTTGTTACAGGGCTGAGTAAGCCTTCACAAAAAAAAAATAATAATAAGACAAATGATAATTCTACTACTACTACTATTAATATTGCTATTACTACTACTACAACCATTAATACTTCTTATACTTCTACTACTACTACTAGTACTACAATTACAATACTACTTCTGTTACTACTACTAAAAATAATGCATTTTATCATTATTATTATTATTACTACTATTATTATTATTATTATTATTATTATTATTATTATTATTATTACTATTATTATTATTATTACTATTATTACTTGATGTAGTAGTAGTTGTAGTATTAGTGCTATAATTAATATTAATAAGTTTTAGGAATTATATGTCATCAAATATACATGTTGGTTGTGTTACAGGTGGAACAGTTCTTCACATAGCAGTTGTGGAGGGTCATGATGATTGTGTTAAGATGCTGCTTGATGCTGGTGCTGACGTCAACTGTCAGGATGATGATGGCCAGACACCACTATACTACGCTGTTAAGAACAATAATGTTGATATTGTTCAAATGTTATTAAATAATTCACGCTGTGATCTCAGTAACAAAGGTAACAATCACATCACCGAACTATGTAGTGAAATTGATATTGATTATTATGTTGATTTATATGGATGGTGTTAGTCCATGTTTGTGCTGTAGTGGACTTAGTCTAGGGTGGTGAATGTTTGTGTGTTATGTCCATTGTTTGTGCTGTAGTGACTTAGTCTAGGGTGTGAGTGTTTGTGTGTTATGTCCATGTTTGTGCTGTAGTGACTTAGTCTAGGATGTGAGTGTTTGTGTGTTATGTCCATGTTTGTGCTGTAGTGACTTAGTCTAGGATGTGAGTGTTTGTGTGTTATGTCCATGTTTGTGCTGTAGTGACTTAGTCTAGGATGTGAGTGTTTGTGTGTCTGTGTGTGCACTCATCTAGTTGTGATTGCTGAGGTCGAGTCAGAGCTCCTGGCCCGCTTCTTCATTGGTCGGATTTTTAACCCCGGAGGGTTAGCCACCCAGATTAACCCAAGAAGTCAGTGCGTCATCGAGGACTGTCTAACTTATTTCCATTGGGGTCCTCAATCTTGTCCCCCAGGATGCGACACACACAAGTCGACTAACTGCCAGGTACCTATTTGCTGGGAGTTGAATAGGACAAAAACCTCACCGGGAATCGAACCCGGGCCCTCCGTGTGTGAAGCGAGAGCTTTAGCCACCAGGTCACTCTCCTTGCTCCATGAGCTTTATCATACCTCTTCTCAAAGCTATGTATGGATCCTGCCTCCACTACATCCCTTAACAGACTATTCCACTTCTTAATATCTGTGACTTAAGAAATACTTCCTAACATCCCTGTGATTCATGTGAGTCTTCAGCTTCCAATTGTGACCCCATGTTGCTGTGGCACATCTATGGAACATCTTGTCTCTGTCCACTGTGTAGATTCCTCTCAGTATTTTATATGTCGTTATCATATCCTCCCTTTCTCTCCTGTCCTCCAGTGTCGTCAGGTCGATTTCCCTTAACCTCTCCTCATTGGACGTGCCCCGTAGCTCCGGGACTAGTTTTGTTGCAAATCTTTGCACTTTCTCTAATTTCTTTACATGCTTCGCAAGGTGTGGTTTCCAAACTGGTGCTGCACACTCCAATATAGGCCCCACATACACGGTACACAGGGTCCTGGACGAATCCTTATTGAAATGTCGGAATCCTATTCTTAAGTTTGCTAGGCGCCTATATGCTGCAGCATTTATTTAGTTGACTGGCAACTCAGGAGATGTGCCTTGTGTTATGCTCACCCCTAGATTCTTTTCCTTGAGTGACGTTTGCAGTCTTTGGCCGCTGTTACGCAGAAATGTTGGATACCTGGGGGCTAGAGCCTTGTCTAAGGACAAAGGTAAAAGTTACACACATCTCAGGCCTCCATGCCATGCGGACCACCTGCCACCACCCAAGTCACACTTATCCGCTAAACAACTCACAGTTGGAAAATAAATCCCTGGCAGGATTTCCCAAATGCACATTATGAATTATAAAATGATGCTTTACAATTATAACATTCATACTTTTAATGACACCCTTCTCTACTGTATATACATTACAATGTCATGCAGAACCCTGCATAACACCCTCGCCCCCAGACCATAAGGCTCACTCTGATAGCAGGATCCCGATGTACACTGCTAAGCAAAAGGAAAAAGCAAGATTATAAATCCCACTCTAAGGTTTGAGGCAACGGGCAAAATGATAACTGTGGAATGATCACCATACAATCATGGTCTTTTGGAACTACAAACATGCAATATTAACAAACTGATGTACTAGATTGCCTACATGTGAAACTTGTCGAACATAAAAGTGATCAAGTTCTATGCACTGGCCAGGCACTGGCGTTGATGCATTTTACCTAAATCACATCAAGCAACCTTATAAACTAGCAAGTTAACTTTGTACATAAGTGCCCTGAGAAGTTCTGGTTTATGAAGTACCACCAAAGCTCTCTATATTGCAAGACAGACCAAATAGATGAGCCACCAAAAAAATTTTTAAACAGTACATTTTCCCGAGGATTTTAAAAGCAAAAAAAAAAACAGATTTTACATGTTAAATTCTACTTAGAAAGCAACATCACATTATCACTCCCATCTCACAGCAGTCTTTAGTAAGCAAAACTGGTTCCCCATGACACACCTCTGCGAGAATCAGGAGAGCACAGGAGGGGAAAAAAAATCAGCCCCCCCAAAAAAAGTTGTGGATATTCAATAAATCTTGTTTTTGGGACTGTGGCCATAAAACCTTGGAGTCATCACTGAAGACCCCCGAAAGGTGGACCTCCCAGGCAGACACCTATGTGTCATTCCAAGGACCTTGGAGTCACCCCAGCGGTGATCCAAAAAGGAGAAAAAAAATTAAAACGCCCTGGGGGGACAAAACACCTTGGATCAAGAGGGCATGACCCAAAAAAATGGAGGGCATCACCGCCAGCCCCACATTCACTAAAACTTTTAGGTCCAACAGTCCCTATACCAACATAAAACAGAGGTGAGGCATCCCAGCCAACACCTTAAAAAAACGTAGCATACCTTACCTAGGCATGGTATTTGATATGACTACCCCCCTAAATACACACACACTAGGGAATCCTGATACCTCCAGCTCCAGCTCAACCTGCCCTTCTCCTTTGGGTGTTCCAGGGTTTCATCTACTCGTCTACCGCAAATCACTGCAAAATAAGAACAGATAAGTGATGTATACACTACATCGTGTATTTTAAACAAGAGACAAGGCATCAGTAACCACATTCTCTGCTACCTTCACATAATGAATCACAAGATTAAAAGGTTGGAGGAACAAGGCCCACCTCATAAGTCTCTGATTGTAGTTCCTCATTAAGTGAAGGAAACGTAAAGGATTATAGTCACTATGCACAGTTATAGGGTGAACTGATGATAATATATAAACCTCAAAATGTTGCACTGCCAACATTAATGCAAGAGCCTCATTTTCTATAGTGGTGTAACTTCTTTGGTGCCTGTTATGTTTTGCTGAGAAGTAGCTTAGTGGCCTTACTTGCCCTGCTCTACCCTGCAACAAGACTGTCCCAACCCCTGTATCATTTTGCAAAACCTATGGTGGGTAACTCAGGATTACACATAAAAGATCTTGGGGGTTAATGGCAAATAAAAGGTTCAGGTACAGCGATATTAAAGTTACAAATATGGGTGCGTCCTTAGCACACATGGTCATGGAAATCAGTTGGCCCCTCCACGATTTATTCACGCATTTTGCATAAAGTTCATAAAGAGGAGACAAATCAGCCTTATTTCTTTAATGTACGTGGCGGCAGTCAGTGCACGTGTTCAAGGTCTCACCTAGTGTGAGACCCCTAACAGACAACGTCCACTGACTCTCGCTGGGTACAAACACAATCTCTAGAAACAAACACTTCACTTCCTTCAAAGAACTTATTTCATGCAAGCTTACATCATGCCAGGCCTGCTGACGTTGCACAAATTCCCAAACCTCTACCTCATGTGGGTTAACATGGCCCCCATTTTCAGTATCCCCAAACTCTTTCACTAAGGTGCACCATGGCTGAGCCACCACAAAAGCCCATATTTCAGAAGATGCAAATCTTCCACAATCTCTTGCAATTTTTCTGCTTACATCACCTTTCTCAGGGACCTTATCCACCATCATTTTGAAGCCACCACACAGTTCCATCATAGCCTTCCCAGGACCCGGCTCCAATGCCAATCCCATCACTCCAGCTTCCAGAATATGTAGCACAACCTCATGGTCCCACGTCATCCTGGGCGGACTATTGCCGTCGACCTCACAATAGCCAAACAGTTTCTGAAACTGAGAAAAAACACCGTGGGGGAAACATCACCATCCTCATATAGCCCATGACTTAAATTTAAGAGTGCTTCCCTGCACGGCAATGAAAAGGAGGGGAATATCCTCATCCCAGTCCTTCTGGTACTGGATAAAACAAACGTGCATTGCCTTGAAAGACTTGGGAAAACCACTGTGCTTTTCTTTGACTCCTAGAGTGATATACATTGGTAAATTTAATCTCAAGTAGGCCTCTCAAAACTACATAACATTTCATAAAATATGACTTCTGGGTGATTTGTGCAAAGCCTAACAGACAAAAATGTTTCACCAAAAATCTCAAAACCACATACACACAAAATTATTCAGAACGGGTATAGACTCTGGTAACCTGTTATAAAAAAAATTTACTAATAAACACTGGTTATTCAGCTCTCCGTTCTTAACACTTAAATGTCGTTCCTTAGGAATCTGTAAAAAATACATACAATGGCACTTTAACAGTTCTGCTGCGGCCACTTGGGCACAGGTCCTCTTAAAAACAGTCTTAAATAGCAAAAAAGGCACAATACCGTGACTGGAACGATACACAAATAACCCGCACATAAAAGAGAGAAGCTTACGACGACGTTTCGGTCCGACTTGGACCATTGACAAAGTCACACTAACCGGGAGTGGAGCAGGACGGCTATATATAGGCAGGAAGAGGTGGTAGTAGTAGTAGTAGTAGTACAAGATTAGTATATACTTTTGAGGAGTCCCACAACGTTGTTGCCTAGTAGAAGGTCAACTCCTGCAAAAGGTACATCTTCTGCAATACCTACAGGTAGGTACCCAGACTGGTACATAGACTACACCCATAACCTGTGCACTGGAGTCCTGAGAGGGACTCGGTAATTCCTTTAAGAAAAATGTCCAATCCGGTGTACGTGTCATCCGACACTGGCAATACACCCCTGCGAAGGAAGGTGTATGTGCTACCAGTGTCCCTCAAAGACAACACCTGTGACTCTACCTTCATTTTGGTCTAAGGCCACAGTAGACTTACTTGAATAAACCGTCATCCGAGGGTCTAAGACAGTTGGTCTTCTTTGGATACCTTGGGGCAAAATTGCAATGCAAGCAACATCATGTGTAACTAGTGTATTTACTGGACAAGCATCTGCTGCAGCCTTGGTCCCTAAGCATCTATCGACAATACGGCTGCAGGTGGCCCTGTTTATGGCAATATGTACAGTGATAAGGTTTAAAAGCCCCCTGCACACTTGACATAGGCTGAGGCCCGTGACCTTGGGGAGCTGGACTCTTTC